GTATTTTATACTATAAAGCGAGTGACTGAGCGCCACACGGACGAATGACGTAGCGATTCTCGCTTGTGTGATGCCCGCATGGTGGGGGCCCTACCCCTCATGTTGCTCTGTTGCATGGAGCTCGAGTTGACATCTTTGGTGTCAGTTTTCCTGAATTGTCTGGTACAAATTGTCTTCTTAATTAGTGATCACAATTGAAGTTTTGAGATAATGAGTGACATTAAAGATACATGGATGTCCTCGCAATTGTTGAAAAAATAAAAATATTACGCGAGAAAAAAATAAGAAAAAAGAATGTGTCTAATAATAAAAAGTAAGGTTAACAATGATGTGCAAGGCAGTATAACCATCGATAATTGTTATCACACTACCAGTAATGACTGTGCATATGAAGAAGCTGAAGCACATGGAAATTTTGAGTCCGAGAGTGATTTACACATGGTACAAAATGATGAAATTAGCGGTTATGAAAATAAAAGAGAAAATGAAGTCGAAGCCGAGCTGGGATTCCAGGGAATATTTTAGGGAAAAATTTTAGATTTAAGCCTGGACCAAACTGGATTATAGAAATAATTATGGTGCAAACCAAACAAATATCTAGGAAAATTATAGATACCAGCTAGATTCCAGATAATTTTTCTGAACAAATTCCGAGCGTAATCTTGGGCCGACTTGGATTCAGCGATAGGGCCTGTTTGATTTAGGCGTCCCAAACTTTACACAAAGCCTAACTAGATTTTCCATCTAGATCCCAGGAATATTTTTCCAAAAATATATGAGGCCCTGATTGTTTCCAGACAAAAATTTTACCTGGGAATATAAATGTGAATATTTAATTTGGTAAGACTTCCATATCCGATCACCACCTAATTTTTATGAAATTTTACAAGGAAGTAGTACTTACTAAATGTAGTCGAATACTACAAATGCGAATGTACGGAAATGTCTAGTTTCTGAGAAATTCAAATTTTAATTGTCCGGCTGGATTAACAATTTTTAAAATTTCAATATGAAGAAATGGTTAGATTTCAAAAATATTTAAAAAATGTTTTATTTTATTAACATTTTACAAGGTTATAGGTACCACTATGCAAAAATATCGTCATCAGCAAAAAAAAACAAAAAATTAAAACATTTTTAGTGATTGCGGGCATATCAAAAAGGTGAGGATGGATTTTGGGTCATAGATCTATCCTGATAGACGAATTTCTTATGAGGGCACACCTAGTTTTGAGTTCAACTTTTTTTTAGATTTAATAATAAAATTTATAGACATTTGGGACTCCCATGGGCTCTCTTCTGTTCCCGTTAATTGCTGATTTGATTCTTCAACATATCGAGGAGAATGCGATTGAAAGTTTACCATTCACATTTATTTAATTAAAATAGTTTATTTTCTTACATTTTTGGATATAATCAGCATTTGAACAATATTAACAGCTAAAAAGTAATGAAATATAACCAAATCTAATATAAACATAAACTAAATTGAAGTTTTTTTATACACTAAAAATGAATTTGAAAATATTAGCAAATACCCCTACGCAAGGTTGGAATGTATAGTAGCGGTCAATGAAATGTACTCAGCAGGATTCTTCGACATAACCTGTCTTTGATAAGTACTGTAAGGGTGGGAAGAATAAATTAGATTTATTTAGGTATATATAGATAATTAACACAAGCTAGGAATTAGTTCAAGTTCACACTTATTTTCAAAAAGTGTCGTGCAGTATTTATAAAAATGGTAAATCACCGAAAAATGACCGAAAGTGAAAAATCACAAAGATCGCAAAATATTAGTTATTATTAAAAAATATTAATAATTGTTATAATTAATTCACCGATCAAACGAGCCCGCCGAAGGCGGGCGAAGTTCGATCGAAATTATATGAAACGTCTCGTTCGGTCAATTATCGAGAACGTCTTGTTCTCGATGATGATAATATGTAGATCTTTAGAGTACGAAATGACTCTTTCATTGTACATATCTTTTTTTTTTTTACTTATTTATTTATTTTGTTAATATTAACAAGAAATTACAATAAATTTCTTATTTTTTCAGTATTGCACTCGCAAATTCACTTTTTGACTTTACAATGAGTTTATTGTAAAATTTTGCGAACATTTGTGAACCAGCAGTCCAACCTGCTGTTCGTCTAATCGTATCGATGCTTACTCCATTTTGGAATGCCGCTGAAACAAATGCATGTCTCGTGCTATAGGCTGTAAATTAGCTAGTATCTATACCCGCCTTGGATAATAAGGATTTTATCCAGTGTTCTAACGTTTGGGCTGATGCATCATTATGTGGTTTTACTGTAGAGATGAATAATTTTTTATTTTCTCTTGTCCTCAACTTTCTTGTTATTTCTATATAATCCATAACTGCTGATGCTACATAGAGAGGGTTTTTCTTTGAAAAACGGTAAAACGCAATTCTGGTTGAAGGGACCCGGGTTTTGATGTTTTTAAGAGATCTGTGATCTTGATAGTTATTTCCGTCTCTGATATTTTGATGTTGGTCATCCGAATAGAAGCTAGAGTTTGTAAACGGTGAGCCGTCATTATTGCTAGTAGTGTGGCTACTTTTTCTACTGTTTCCTTCAATTTTAATTGATTGATAGGATGCAATTTTTCTAAGAAGGAGAGAACAAGTGATGTATCCCAAATAGTATCATATTTGGGTTTTGTGGGTCACTCTTTAAATGCTCCCTTCAAAAACCTTGATATGAGACCATCTTGATGAATATTGTTAGTAGAAATGAGGGCAATAGCTGAACGAGCTGAATTTAAAGTGCCATAGCTGGCACCGTTTTTGAATAGGTGCGTTAAGAATTTGATAATGTCTGAAGACCTAGCATTATACATATCCAACCGTTTTTCTGTAGTAAAATTATACCAACTCCTCAAAGGGCTTTAATATTGTTTGAGGGTGGATTCTGTGATGGAATTAATCAAAATATCAGCTGAAGGGTCATCTAGTCCCCTTGTCATAAAGGCACGCCTGATAAATTGCCTACCATCAACGAAAGGTTCGCAGCCAGCGGATGTTTCTTCTTTCTGCAAGGAGATAGTAAGAGATTCTTATTTGGATTTAAATATAACGGGGGTTTAATGAGCATGGACATAAACAGGGGGTACCACGGTTGGGCTGGCCATCGAGGTACAATAAGTATTCCCCTTGCTTTGTCAGATAAGATTTTTCTTAATGATCTTAAGATGAGTGCAAAAGGAGGAAATGCGTAAAAATTTTCATTTTTCCATGAAATTGTGAATGCATCTACTGCTGTAGAATCAGGATTTGGGAAACGTGAACAGAATCTCTTGCATTTTTTGTTCAATCTTGAAGCGAATAAATCAATTGAGAAAGGTCCAAATGCTTTAAGAATTTTCATGAAGAATTTATCATTGAGTTCTCACTCTGTATCTATGTTAGTAATGCGAGACGCATAATCTGCTTCTACATTTGATTTTGACGGGATATATGAAGCAAAAATCCATAATTTTTTGTTTTCGCACCACTGCCATATTTGGCGAGATAAGTCACTTAGATGAGGGAATTGAACACCACCAGCCCTGTTGATATAGGCTATTGCAGAAGTATTGTCTATTCTTAAAAAAATTTCGCAATTATATAAATGTG